GGACTTATTTCCTGAATCAATAACATCATTCCTATATCAACTGGCTCTAAATTTGTACCTTGAAAATAATCTACAGAATACTGTTGCCATCTCTATAACTCCTCTGAAAAATCTGTATCTGCCAGAACTTTTTGAGAGCCACAACTCACATAAAGGATAAAGGCTGATGAGGTGCAATGGACTTTCTATTTTATGTGACATAACTATGTAGGTGTATTTTAAAATGTTTCTGTGGTACCCAATGTTGAGGCTATTGTCAACTCTAAAAATTTCTCACTGGAATCTAATTTACTTGATTGTGTAGTAATTGACTTAGTTAATTTTAAAACTGATCAAACCTGTAATTGACATAACGAGTAGTTGTGGCACCTTAGAGACTAACCAATTTATTTGAGCATGAATACAGACTACCACGGCTGTTACTTTATAACGAGTAGTGTATCAATTAACAGTATTAGCTTTTATATTACTAACAATGCCACCTGCACGTTGAAGGCTTCTGCTTAACTTCACCCACTGTCCTGTCTTGACCCTAAAGTTAAAGGGTGTGCATTCACTGTGCATAAGAGTTAAACATATGCCTAAGTCTTTGCAGGATTGAGGCCTAAAACTATAAGGGAAAAAAGGGAGTCTTTTTCCTGTACTTTCACATCATAAAACTTCACTGTACGTGTTTCAGTAGCAAAGCAAATCACGTTGGGAAAATAATATCCACCAGGCTTCCCCGGTGCAGCCTTTATTAAAAATGTAAATTAAAATTTGACTCCCCATGGAACCTTAACCTCCCACCACTACAGCATCTGTTAAACTTACCTGCCTGATATAATAATGTAAATGCTTGGTTCTCATTTAGAGGGTGACTGACTAGCAGTACATACACATTCATTCATTAGAATTGTAGCTGTTGTGAAAGCCTATTGTTTTATTTATCAATCCAGTAGAATTATCTGTCACACTGCATTAGAGCGCAAATTCTGCTGAAGGAATGCTTGCATGAGCTTACCAATTTTAATTTATTGACTACATTATAGCTCCACAGGATAACCAAATAGATGAAATATAACATGCTCCTCGCATTCAACTGTGTCTTAGGAAATCAGCACATGCCAATAGAAATTACAAGGTTCAGATTTAAATTTGAATCTAGTAACACCAGGTGACTTGGTATCTTTATAGTATAGGTAACCTGGCTGTAGAGTTTATTCCCTTCATGATAAAATGAAAATGAAAGAAAGAAAATATATTACAAACTCTTTGACAAGCATATTTTCAGCTTGGGGTTACACTGTTTTGAGATATAAATCATGTAATATTCTCTGTAGACATTTTGAGAGTAACATAAGTCTTTGCATTTGTTTTGATACGATTTGGCTAATTAATTCAGATCCAATGTTATAAAGCAAGAAACATTTATTTTAGCTAGGCATTCGATGTGTTCTTATATGGCACTTTCTTATTAGCCTGAGAGGAAAATCAGATTGTTCTGCTGACATGATCAAAAGCCATAATGTTAGATTTGTTGGCAATGTTAGATTATTTTATTACAGTTCTACGTGTTAGTTCTTCAGTGTTCTTACACAAAGGTAAAGTGCAGTGACAGGACATGTTACAATGCCATTCCTTGGAATGAATATCACACTATCTTGAAACTTACCATGGTGCTGAGATGCTGGGAAGGTGACAATGCATTTGTCAATTTCATTACATTTGCAGGTTTCACAGTAGCAGCCGTGTTAGTCTGTATTCGCAAAAAGAAAAGGAGTACTTGTGGCACCTCAGAGAGAAACCAATTTATTTGAGCATAAGCTTTTCGTGAGCTACAGCTCACTTCATCGGATGTATCCGTAGCTCATGAAAGCTTATGCTCAAATAAATTGGTTAGTCTCTAAGGTGCCACCAGTACTCCTTTTCTTATTACATTTGCAATGGATCATTGGAGCCCTGAAGAGGAGGATGAGGAGCTGTTTGCAACCACAAGGTAGGACTGCTCTCTGCTTTGCTCCAAAAGACATGAGAGATGGTGTAATTAGGAAATCTTGTTTAAATCCAAGCTCTGATACTTACTTCCCACATAGCCCTTCACCTCTCTAGTTCCTAACCTGTAAAATGGGGATAATAATACCACCACCACCACCACACTGACAGGAGTATTGTGAGGATTAGTTTATACAGTGCCTTGAACATGCAGATATGGAGCAGTATTATAATGCCTGGAATGTAAGGATTCCTGTTGCCTGCACACAGGATGGTTTCTCCCAGCAACTATAGACAAACACCAGTCAAGGGCCACTTCAATCTGGTGGGATACAATAAGGAGTGTCAGCTAGTTGGGTACGGGAGAATGAATGGACTGGCCTTTCTTTTTTGCAGCTTAGGTTGATGATGTAATCAATCTATCTAATTTTAATAGGTACCTTAATGTAAAGACTTCTGACTCAAGAGTTTGGGATACCATTCTGCATGAGATGAAATGTGAAAACTGCCTAAAGATATTTGGCTCCCTGAAGGTGACTAACCAGGTACGGAGGGGAGAGGGGAGAACACTGAGAAATTTGAGACAATAGTCTCAGAGTGAACTTCTCCTCTGCGATATATGTATGCAACATCCACTGAAGTCAATGGAGGCAGAAGACTTATGCGTAGGCAGTATGCATACATACATACATACCCTTAGACTTTAGGGTCTTTAGGCAGGGATTGGCTTTTTGTCACATATGTACAGCACCTAGTTCCATGACACCATTGTTCTTTATAGGTGACTTCTAGGTGCTACCACGATACATAGAATAATAAATAATGATCTATCAAACATCCTAAAATGTGCATTATATAGAATACATACATATATTCAAGCGGCAAAGAGTCTTGTGGCACCTTATAGACTAACAGACGTATTGAAGCATAAGCTGTCATGGGTGAATACCCACTTCTTCAGATACAGATATTCGATATCACAGGCCTTGTCTACCCAGTGCCTTAATCCTCACCAGGGGGCTGTAAATCCTAATGAGCACTAGCTCTGAAAACACTTTGTTACTTCCAGGTGGCTTGAGGAAAAAATAAGAATTCAGTAATTATATCCCTGCTTCAGTTGCTTATTAAGAAGACAGTAGCCATTTTTGTTATCAAACATTTTGGAAAAGTTGCTGAAAAAATAAGGGAAAATGCAAGCTTTTCAATACTTTTTCTCAATATCCATGACTTCAGGTAGCTTTTCTTCCAGAGATTTTTAAGTGACAGTACACTGATGTCCAGAGAGTTTGGCTTATTTACTCATAGGCATTGCTATTGTGTTCATCACTGCAGCATCTCAATGATATATTTAAGATCCACTTTCCAAGATCACACTTTGCCTGCACTCTCTTTCTAGCCAGTTTCTTGTTTAAACAGCTCTATATGAAGAGTGCTGTAGAGATAGTGAGATTTCAGTTTAGCTGATATTCTGTGTCCACACTGGGAAAAATGCATCATATTAGAAAGTGACACATTTTTACAGCGTAAACATGGCCAAAGGGTGTTCCGTATGTTGGGCTCTTCACCCAGAATGCCCTGCATTAGGCAACAGGTGGGCAAACTCTCTGGCCTAAGGGCCACATCAGGGTTCCAAAACTGTATGGAGGGCTGGGTAGGGAAGGCTGTGCCTCCCCAAACAGCCTGGTCCCCGCCCCCTATCTGCCCCCTCCCACTTCCTGCCCCCTGACTGCCCCCCTCAGAACCCCCGACCTATCCAACTTCCCCCCGCCACTCCTTGTCCCCTGACTGCCCCCTCTCGGGATCCCCCACCACTGACCGCCCCCCGGACTCCATCCCCTATCCACACCCCTGCCCTCTGACAGGACCCCCAGGACACCCACGTCTATCTAACTGCCCCCAGCTCCCTGTTCCCTGACTGCCCCCCGGAAACTCCTGTCCCTTATCCAACCCCCCTGCTCCCGGCCCCCTTACCATGTGGCTCAGGGCACCAGGACCGGCAGCCACGTGGCCCGGTCAGAGCCAGCCACGCCGCCGCACAGCACTGGAGCAGGCCGGCGGCTCTCGCAGCCATGCTGCCCAGCAGGAGCTCACAGCACCGCTGCCCAGAGCGCTGGTGGCACAGAGAGTTGAGGCAGCAGGGGAGGCGCTTGGGGCTAGCCTCCCCCGGCCGGGAGCTCAAAGTCTGAGCAGGACGGTCCTGCAGGACGGATGTGGCCCGCGGGCTGTAGTTTGCCCACCTCTGCCATACAAGCTGGAAAGTAATTTTATAGACTCCTTCATTCCCTCTTAGGAAAACTTTGTAAAGCATTCTATTTAGAAATCACTCTGCCAACATACACTCATTTCTGAGGTTTTTTTCTTTGCCATATACATGATTAAGAACAAATAATAATTTGGAAATAATGTGTCTTACATGGTAATGTTTTGATGTCTAGGGAGGTCCTGATGCTGCTAAATATTTAACCTGATTATCTTGTGGTGCTGTAAAGAAAGCTCCACTCTTCAATAGGTAGTCTGATTGATCTACTAGTAATGGGAGAAGGAAAGGTGTGATAGGCTGTCAATGTTAATGAAGTGTTTGTGGGTGTTTCACTGTATTACACTGACACAAATGAAACTTCCCCCCTTCCCAGCCATTACAGTTTCTAATAGTCAATCCCATCTATCTGTTTTATTACATTCTGCAGTCTGGCTGTAATGACGAACGCATCATTCCTAAAGAAAGGGAGAGAAAAAAAATAATACACATAACGCTAACCTTTAATGCGACAGTTAATTCTTATGTCTGTGACAGCCCTATTTTTTAACATTTACTACCTTAACCCACTGGCTATAAAGCATTCCACGTAAAATACAGTGTTAAATCAAATGATGTGCTAAAGTGGTTCTTGCTGCCATATGTTTTGCTATAATGGAAAGTACAGTAAAGGGCACGTACTGTAGTACAGCACTGAAACTAATCTGGAGAGAGAAGAGAAGAGAGGCTGTAAGATAGGCTCCTGTACAGTAGGAGTACTAATACTCACTCATTGTAATGTTCCGTATTTATCTTTTAAAAAGCAACAGCGCTGTAAGCAGATTTTCCTCCCACTCCCAGCCATAGAACTTTTTTTAGTGTCGCTCATTTGTTCTTTTCCTAGTTTGATTAACTATTCAGAGCAGGTAGTCCTAAGCAAAGAACAAAGATTGCGTAATCTGAACTTTAACTCATACTTCACAGGCCGGTGCCTCAGTCAGTTTGTGAGGAAAAGCAATTATTGCACTTGAGCTAGCACCAGGAACAGTATTATAAAGAAGGGTCAATGACACACCATTTCACTGGTACAAAAATCATTTTTTATAAAAGCACTATAATTTCACCTTCCTGACTGAAAAACCTGTCAAAAGGAACACTGGCAATATGTTAGCTGCTTGAAACCCTACCCCTAAGTAGCTTTGGGCTATGGTTATAACAAATGATTAAGCACCATTTTTTCTCCCTCAAACCCCTTAACTAAATACTTTCTTAACCAAGATGTAAATAGCGCTCACTTCCAAACAAATGAGAGAAGGAAAGTGATCTGTGCCTGACCAACATTAATTTAAACTGATCCTTGATACCGTTTGTAGCTTCTGTTTTAACAGTGATTGCTCCCAATCTTTAAAACAATTGCTGCTCCCTTTGGAATGGGCAAATTGCTTCACTGAGTGACAAGTTAGTCCTCTTGCTGTGAGATTGGAAGCTGTTCCTTCCATCAAAAGTGAGCTAGTTGGAAATAACTGATTTTATGCTTCACTGAGTTTGGTCTTGCCTGAATACAAAAGCACATAATCTTACTGCTTGCCATGGATAAGAAGCTTCCTATGTGACTGATGCATAAAGTGCGCAGCCAGAGCTAGTGCCTGTTGTGTATGGGAGGAAGGGGTTAGCTAGGAGAAACATCCTTTCAGCAGCTACTGTGTGATGTGGGGGCAATAGCTGGCCCAAAATAATTCCTCTGACACACCTCAAAAGACTTAAACAGCACCCCTTCACTCCCCTCGCATGTTTCTACAGAACCCTTCCATTTCAACATGTGTTGGAAGGTTTTTCTGGGCTGACTGAATTGTTTAACACAGCATAAAAGGAAACTCAATGTCAAATATCTCCCTGTCAAGTCTCTTTCTCACTCTCCATGACGTGGTTGGTCTGTGAGGATGGAAACATTGAATTAAAAACCTCTTTAAGTGCTGAATTGCTGACTTAGAGCTTATTTGCCTCTGCCCCACTCGCCCATGCAGTGTGGAGATGTATCATGTGCTAGGCTAATTGTAATTCCCCAGCATGCACTACACTAGGCTTCTGAACTGAAGCAAGGAGGGCTGGACAGTCATTTGAGAAACATTCGCAGCTAATGGAAAAGCAGCTGGGGTAATTCTTATACAAATCCATCCTCTGTGGGAAAAGAGAAGCTTAAGCCAGTAAATGCAGTATCGGACCGTGCTTGAACTCTGAAACTGTATGTCAGCTTTGGTGGGAAAACAAACATTCTATTTGCCATTAATGTGCTATTGGGGAACAAGTGAGACAACAGACTTCTGTATTAGGGAAGAACCCATGTCTTCAAAATCTTATATTAATCCCATTTCTCACTCAGAAAAGAAATCAATGTTGTTCCCTCGGACAGCTTCTCGAGTTTCAACTTCTAGGGTCCATAATGGTCCCAGAGTATTTATTTTTCAGATAGAAAGAATGATAAAAATACAATAGCAAAATTGGAGGCGACCTATATGCTTCCCTAACCCATTCCCATATTCTAGAGCCTATTAACAACTTTGAGGGTGAAAAATGGGACCAAATACGTACTTTTCTTTTTAATGAAACATGAACAGAACCTTGCAAAAAATCTAAGCTCTTGACAAGTATTGCACTAGTATAAGAGACATGACTCATATCAAGGGGGAGCTCTCCTATATGGAGAAAAATATTATTTACAAGAGAATACTGGGAAAGCATGTCTATGCAGCTAGTATTACATTCCATTAAATCTTAATAGGAATTTTTAATACTCATTTTGAAAAATAAATTTAAAAATGTGCATAGTGCAATATTTCAAGCTGCAGTAGCACAACTGTAAAATTGTGTTATTCCATCCTTAATATACAAAGCCTACTGAAGCACATTTAAGCACTTAATGGATTTTGCTCTTTTTAAAATACATCATAACATTGTACTTATGTCACTTAGGAAAGCTGATCAAATGGTATGTATAGTTAAGCTATAAGTCTTAAGTAAAAATGTTTTAGCATTCATCATGATAACTTAAATATCTAAATAAACTCTTCTTAAAATCCAGTATATCTGGCATTATATTAATATTGTATATAAAGTATTCCATATTTCTGAAATGGAACACAATATAAATTTCCCAATTAAGTTGCAGTTTATACGTACAGTGGGGTATTTAATTGTATTAACTTAAATGCCAGTTTATATGTATCCACCAGAGGAACTGTATTTAAAAAAGATCAGTTAAGTGAAAGTGGCATCTCAGCCGGTAATATTATCTCACATTTCATGCTTGCAACCAGTTCAATTTGTACTGCTTTGTACAATAAGTGGAATAATCAAGAACACATAAAGTAACATAAGCTGGTATAAAATCTTCCGGCTTTGTTTAGCATTTGTTTAGCATATGATGCATTCACATATCCACTATCTCTGCAACTAACTGGTTCTGTAGGTCCAGTCCATGGGATGTCAATAGAGCTGGCTGAAACTCAGAATTTCCAGTTCATGGGAAATTCAAAAATTTTGAAATTTGGTTTCAGTCTAGCTCCGACTCTTTGTCCCCATCTACTCCTCCCATAGCTCTGGCTCTTATCTCCTTTCCATTTAAATCAAGAAGCTTCCTCCTCCAGGCTGCATGGTCCCAACAACACAGGTCACAGTGCACAGGAGAGAAGCTCCCTGCTCACAGCTCAGATGCCCAGATCCTGACCTGGCATTGCCAACAGCGGACAGAGTGGCAATTGCAGTAAAAGTCCTGCTCATCCCCAGTCTGGAGCATGCTCAGTGTGGGCAAACTTTGGCAAATTTAGTGGCCAAAATCTAAGAAGTCTGTAATGCACATGTGAAAACTACAATTTTTTTAAGTTTATAACTTGGCCAGATTTGGGTAGATTTTCAATGGGATGACAAAGGGCCCATCCCTGACACCAAGGCCCCTCTCTGTTTTGTGAACAGTGGCTTTGCAGAACTGGGCCCTTGGATAGCCTGACAGTTCTGCTGGTTGAGATGAGATTTTATTATCTATATTAGTTTTACACTACTTCCCTGCAAATCAGTAATATGACAGAATGACTGACCTCTGAAACTGGCTAAGACGAGTTCCCATTAATATTTTTATATGAATATCCCACAAAAGTCTATTTACCAAGCTTTCATGCCTGAAAAATGTCAACTGCTTCTCCATTCACTAATCTATTTATATCGCACAATACCATAAAATCAATACATGCCCACCTAGCATGCAAGCAAAGCAATAAACAAAATTTAGATCTATTTTAAATTACCTGCATCCCCAAGACTGCTTATTTGCCTATATTTCTTGCTAAATTACTGACTCAAGCAAAACTAGATGCTTAAATGAAACAGTGCAGAACAATGCTACTCTGACTTGGTTGCTTTAGTTTATATCCACTAGTAAGAAGAAACTTATAGCACAATTAGAAGTGCTCAGATCCTGGAAAGTACCAAGACTGCAACCTTCAATAGGTGTGATCACAGAATTCCTTAGTGTCCAATTTTTAAAAGATGCAGTTAAACCAAGGGCTTAATTTTCAGCGATTGTAAATCCAATTTTGCATGTACCCATTTGCACAGGCAAATGCTGGTCATCCGTCACTTTGTTACTGGATCTGAGTGTAACTGCTTACTTGCATGCTCAAATGAGATAACAGTGTGAGCAAACAGATGCATCTATAATTTAGCACATACATAATTAGAGACTACTGTCTGAAAATTTCATCCATAGTGACTGGCCTTTTCAATTTATACAGGAAACTATTCATTTTTGGGCCACAAGTCTTCAGCTTCAAAAGACAGTGGGTTAGCTGTTTTCATCCCCCCCCCCCCCCCGCCCACACACACACATATATTATTAGATTTAACTTCCATCAATTTATATGTTGCTTTTGAATAAATTTAGTTTCACACTCTCTATTATGCCTTCAACAAAATAATTTGCAATCTAAACTTTCTGGTGTGAACTAACCCTTTGAAATAAAAGTGGATAGGTTAGACACATGTGGGAGGAAATAGCGTGAATCCTCCTTTTAAAATGACTGCATTAAAACATAGGATTTGCTTCTTAAATTACCAACTTTTTTTTAAAGAAAAGATTTGCCGCTTGCCTCCAATATTTCAGGTTCATATCAGATTTACTTTGAATCCTTTTGATACATAAAATAACTAGAAAATACATTATTTTATTCAGTCTGAAAATAATGAGTCATTTAAATGGAAAGAAAAAGGCAAACACAGTTAAATGTCTGTTTTGCATAGTCAAACAGAGCAAGTGTCAGGCATGCTATTTCCTCCCTTATGCTGCAGAGATGATACAAACATTCATTTCTCAGATCAATATTCCACATGGACGAAAGAAGAGCAATATTGTAGCCAGTACTTCTGAGATTTCATTCATGTCTTGTTTTACTAATGAATTACTTACTTTTCTCACTTCAAGCATCTTCTAGTTAAACATCTCCAACCAGGGTGGCCCTTCAGGGGAAACCTCAATCAACCTACTATACCAATGCTACTGGAGCTCCACTTTATACTTCAAAAACAAAACTACGAAGCATGACAATAAACTGATTTAAAAATCTTATTCCCATCTCAACTCATCCTGTCCTTTCAGAATGGAGACCCCAGCAAAGTTTTTAAGCACATGCTTTAATCCATGCCCCTTCAGCAAAGCACGTCTGCATATGCTTAAATCCCATCCGAGTCAATGGGACCTTAGCACATCCCTAAAGGTAGCCATAGGTTCACCTTTAGGGATGCTGAATAGAGATGGGCTGCTGAACGCCTAAAAAAAATAGCAGTTTTGGTCACATAATTTACTTGATACTACAGTTAAATCAATGATGTGTGAAATGCTACATTTCTTTTACTGTTTTTAAATTTTGCTTTGACTCCCACCTTCTATATTTATATGGTGAATAAATATTGAAAAACAAAATTAAAGTGGAGGCATTTGTGACTATCAGCAGTACAACCCTTCACTAGTTGTCACTGAGCTAACCCTAGAAATCCAGTGTTTCCTCACAAAAACAAAAATCAAAACAGCCAGTGCTCTCACATCCTATTCTCCTTAGGGAAGTTTTACTAGCAGAAAGCTGGAGTGAAGTCTTATATTACTACTCTGTGCTTCATTCTCTCCTTCAAAGGTCAGCTCAGCATGCAGGGGAAATGCCAGGGAGCCAGAATACCTTCCTGATTCTCAAGGCCAGCCAAAGCCATGATAAGTCAGAGCCATTCCAGGTAGCTCTAACTGATGCCACTGATGTAGAAGCCATTACACAAACAAAAGATGTGTGAGGCAAAATGGTACTCTTATCATGTCCTCTCCCCATTGTTTCCCCTATCCAGCGTCAAGGGGTCACGACAATTGTAGGACCTGGAGTCAGCATAACTGCTCCAAGCAAGGAGTTGTCCTCCAATAGGGCAAGTCTCTGTGGGCCAGCTGTGGCCAGCTCCCTACTCCTTTGTCCCTCGCGTGGTACCGCAAGACAGACTGGAATAAATAATCCAGCCCTCTGTCTTCATTACTTTTTCAAATTGTACGTTATAATAGTATATTATGAAGATGCACAAATGTTGCTGGTCAGGAGAAATGAAAATATCCCGTGAAGCAGTCTCTTTTTTTAATCTTGAGCTTTTAAAATTCTTGATCCTTTTATTTAAAAAGTCATATTTGTTCATATACTCACTAGCATGAAAAGTTTGGTAATCTCTAATGGAAGGTATTAATCCCAGTGTGGAGGGCCAGCTCCAGGAACCACTTAATTTCCATTTACACTTTCAAAATAAAGTTTAAGAGGCATTTAGGCCTCATGCTGACTCGCTGGACTGGGATGAATTTCATATTAGCCAAGCGAATTAGTGAAGTTCTCCTGTATTTCTTCTCTGAGTACGAAATTATTCTTCCTCTCATACACCACTGATTCCATGAAATCTTTTGAAAATGACCCTGCTAGATCATTCCATAACCTCAATCTTTTGCCAGCACACCACAGATGCTGTTGGCATCTGATCTGTTTTGTCTATGTCTGAAATTCTAAATCCTCAGAGCAGGAGCTGTACACACAGCATACATATATGTACATATAAATGTGTAAATAACCTGCTGATACTCAATAAATAATACTTGACCAGATCCTTAGCTGGTATAAATCAGCACAACTCCACTGACTTAGGGCTTGTCTATACTACCTGCCAAATCAGCGGGCAGCAATCGATCCAGCAGGGGTCGATTTATCACGTCTAGGAGAGAGGCAATAAATCGACCACTGAGCACTCTCCCACAGATTCTGGTACTCCACGAGAATGAGACGCGCAAGCGGAGTTGACGGGAGAGAGTCAGCTATCGACTTACCACAGTGAAGACACCGCAGTAAGTACATCTAAGTACATCAACTTCAGCTAAGCTATTCATGTAGCTGAGGTTGCGTATCTTAGCTCGACCCCGTGAGGTAGTGTAGACAAGCTATGCTGCTTGTAGCTATGCTGATTTACTCTTGCTGCCACTTCGATATACCCTTTCTTTTTAGATGTGCAAAACTGTACAGCTGATTGCTTAGACTCAGAGCTGCACGAAATTCAGAAGTTTGGGAAACACATCACAAATTTGCATGTTATCCTTGCACAAAGGCCAGACTACTCTTCTCTGTATCATTCCAATTGTTATATATATGTGCTAAGTTTATAAAAACAAATCTCTTCATGCTTTGGTTTGCTCCTCGTGAGTTTCAGGTCTGAAGGAATCTCAAATAATTCAACGTGAAACTCTGTCAAGGAAACTGCTAAGTTCCATGTGGTTCTGTGCAGAAAACTATACAGAGTTACATGTTTAACATGGGTCAACATAAAACTGTAACTCAACCAAGTTTTACTCATTTCACTCAACACTGGATCCTGCTTGGCTAAAAAGTCCTGTAAACTTTCAGCAAAACCTTTGGACAAACCTGGTCTGAGTCCTGACTTAGTGATAAAATGTGAGATCAATCGAGTTTCATAAAGATTTGAATTTAGTGAAGGAAGTTTCACACAGTTCCAATATCAACATCTGCAAGAACCTCTTTACATTTGGAGATTCATTGTATGGGCACCAACCAGATTACGAATTTGTCTCTCTCTCATAATAGTATGAAATAATCAGTTAAAATCTAGAATAAAACAAAGTGTGGCTAATATGCTTTTGAAATTGAATAGTATGTTGGTGTTTCTATCAAAAGCCTATGTGGGCTTTCAGAATGAACAATCATAGATAAAAATCAATGTGTAATTAAATGCAGAGGCTTTAAGACAAACTGCATAACCACCAATGGCTTATTTACAGTTAGCTTATAAGTACCAGGAGTTGAGAATCTTAAAAATGGCTATATTATTGTGAGTGGACATTTAAAGGCTTGGTTTACAGACTTCGCTGAAATTAAAAAGCCGAAGTTTAATTCGAGGCATCAGTGCTGAAGTTAGGAATGGCATCTACAGTAATTAGCTGCTCTAAAGCCCCACTTATTATGAGAAGAATAAGAAACCTAAAGAAAATTGGAATACGGTTGCACGGTGATATCCCAGCCCCAGTGAAGCCTATGGCAAAATTCTGCAGTGCTTTGCTGGTAACGCATTGGACTAATGGACACTGCTGGTAGAACTCTGCTCCCTGAAGCAATATTGCTACCCTCTCCTCCCTCCTTTCTTCTCACTGATCTGACAATATGAACAGATCCTAACTGTATTGAGACAGGAGCCAGGGTATCTGTGCCAACACAAAATCTGAAGCATGCAGATTGAAATTTACTCCTATCCAGAGGTCAAATAAGAGGCTATAAGCCAAAGTGCCAATTACACCCTAAAAATAGAGCTTAAGTGGCACGTAAAGCTTGTGCTGGCCCCTTGCATTCAGGGAATTTCACCCACAACATCTAGAAACACTAGTGGTTGGATCAAGTGATTATCACTGGTTCAACAATTTCCTCTATGAAACAAAAATACAAAAAAAAAACCCATTCATAGGTTGGAGCCACTATATTTTTTTGCTGTTTTCATATTTTCCTGGGTATAGATTAGAATAAAGTCACAATATCGAGAAGAAACTGAAGTCCCACTTAAGAAATATTTTAATAGGAGTCCCAACCAGATTAAATAGGGTTGATTGACTCCATGGTGTGATTACGGCCTCTATGTGTTGATTCCTCCTTTGAGGCAGTGTGCAAATACCATGAGGGAGACCAGACCTGACCTCAGTCCAATAGCTCTGAAAAGTGTATCTTGACACATATTCACACTTGAGAAAATGAGCACCTGTGCCTCACCCATATGCACTCATGCCCCATCCACATGCAGCAAACACACACATCACAGTGTGCCAACAATGTTGGTGCATTCATGTGCCTTCCCCCACGTGTTCAATAAAAGCAAACAGAGGAGGAGGAAAGGGATGAACTACAGAGGAGGAATAGAAAAGGAACAGTGAAAAACTCTAAGGAAGCAATAAGAAAAAAACTCCACAGGGGCATAAACAATACAAACATAAGATGGACAAACCTTTTGGATATAAAATGTGGAGCAGTGTGTAATGTAATGACTCCATTGAAGTCAATTTACATCAGCTGAGGAGCTGCCCTTGTATTTGTCTTATCCCCCCCACTTTTCCTCCTCCTGACTCCCATTCCTTTTCATGTAACTCTATGGGACTTGGCATCCTTGTGTAAGAACTTTTTTCTTGGCCAGAGAATGACAGATAAAAATTAAATGATGATATAAGCAGTTGAAAGATGAATGGTGTGAAATAAAACATGCGTCTCTGTTGTGTTGTGGGTGCTCTTTTCACTGGATCTTCTTCCCAATGTGGTAAGTCAAGCAGTTGGAGATAGCATACTACATTCTGCAGATATAGATATATAGTCAAGTATTTCCGGCACAACAATGCATGATGCTGAAGCGGCTTGCTTGCCAGACAGCAACCGATTTTAGGAGAAAATCAAATGGGAAGAGGGTGGGGGCAAAATCAGAGAGAATAATTCACCTTCTGTTCATTTATTACTCCTCATTCTGCCTTCCTCATCAACCTCATCCCGTGAGGTATAAATTAGAGGGGCAGATATATAAACTGTATTGTATTTTAGATCTATTTACAGAGTTTATTTCAAATAAGGTCCTCAGTTCTGGCTGAGTTAAGCAAGGTCCCTCAGTCTACTAGCTGCACTCTTGAGACAAACCCTTATCTGATGTATATTGTCATAGCTCCATTGAAGTCACTGGAGCTGTGACAATTGACAGCTGAGGATTTGCCTGGAGATGTGCGCTAAGTGGTTTGAGCATTGGCCTGCTAAACCCACAGTTGTGAGTTCAATCCTTGAGGGGGCCATTTAGGGATCTGGGGCAAAAATAAGGGACAGTACTTGGTCCTGCTGTGAAGGCAGGGGACTGCACTCGATGACCTTTCAAGGTCCCTTCCAGTTCTATGAGATAGGTATATCTCCATATTATTAAGTGTAGAGTGTCTATATCTACTGTTAGCTTTTCCTATTTTTTTTTTCATATAAGGTTTGTTGCCTAAAATATATAGTGACATAGTAAATACTGGGTGTTTTCAATTTACGATTTTCAGGATATTTAAAATACATAGTATGACAATATGTTTTACATCACACACACCAAATATATTGGGCAAAATTCTGCTCTTAAGCTGGAAGTCAGTGGAGTTGCACAGACTTAGAGCAGAATTTGACTTGGCATGTACTGCTGAATAACTTGTATATGAAATATTGCCCATTTCAAATGTCAATATATTTTCTACATCTGTATAATATGTAACTAATAACCCATATATGAAAAATATTTTAGTTTTCCAAAAGGGCTACTCACGTCTCTTAACTCACTCTTAAGTATGTCACTGAATATCCCAAACCAAAGGAGTAGAGACATTCCCCACTTCTCTAGTCAACTCAGTGATTTGTTTAAACAATTCCAGACCAGGCAGTCCTCTGTACTTCACAATGCCCCTGTGTTGCTACCATGTCACACAAGGTTGTGTGAACACACTGTGACCAAAAAAGTTACCAAATGATACAGTGTTAAGGGTACACCAAGAGTTACATGATTAAATGCAATATAAAATGAGTTGGAGCAGAAAATCCCTGTCCCTATTGTCTTCTACTAAAAGATATTTTTCATTTTGGGGCAGAGGCAAGGAATCCTCATGCCCTTTTTACAGCTATTGGGCATTTACATTATATGCATTCATCATTAAAGACATTTTACTATATCTGCCATCAATACAATAAGGGGAACATTTATTTAGGAGGGACTAACCCTATTTCCTCACAGTTCTGTATCTCTGATCCTTCAGGACTTACATTTTGCCACTGCAATTCATTTCACTGGCTGTTTTTTTCCCCCAACAGCTGTCATGACAACAGTGAGCTTAATTTGCTATTAAATTCTCAGGGTGTGACCCAGCTCTTATTATATCTGCTGTGATCTCTTCATGCCCATCTAAACTGTTTTTAAATCATGTTTAATAATGGTTCTTAAGTACAGTTTAAAGTTGATTGCTGTCAAAACCAGTTTCTAACATGGTTTGGCAGGTCTATGTGGGCGGTCATAAACCTTCCTCTGGAACAGATCCCTAACTTTAATAGTCAAGCCTGGAATTAAACTTTGGCTTTTAACAAATGGAGTATGCATATTTGCAGAGCAGCTTCTTATTAATAATAGTGCCTAAAATACATTTCTACTCTTAAGTTATAGCTGTCCACTATAACTAAAGATTTCCACCTAGATATGAACATGTGGGTTTTTTTTAAAAAAAAACTTGTTCTAAAATGAACCGGCTCGATTCATGTTGGCTGATCAAATTGTGTTAGAAACCAGTTTGGTTGCAATCGAGCTAAAATATGTTTCAGCATAATTATGGTTTAAAAACCCACCTACAAAGGGTCCCGAGGACAGACAGATCTATCTGTCTATGGCATTTGTGGTGATCCCATGGATAGTATATAGGCAGGTACAGATCTAGAAACGCTAGCATCATTTATGTAAATGATTTTTAGTCCTAGAAATGAAAAGCTAACTATCCCTACGAAGAAAAATCGACTCTCCCCTAGCAATTTCCCTCTGTTACTTCTGATATTTTGAAAATTTATTGATAGGAAGTCAAAGAATGAATTGAAAACAGACCCCTCTCTACTCACTGATTCATGACTCTCTCAATCATCAGTAGTACTTTCAACAGGACATAAAGACTTTTGGACAAAGAAATGTTGCAATGAAAGACATACCCACAAGATAGTTCTGTCCCAGTTTAGAAGATAATTTTAGCATATACTTTTTGTCATCTTTGAGTGCATCTTCTCCCTCTTTCTCTGTCAAACAACTTCTCAAGCCTTGCACAGTCTTCCCTAGAAGAATGCCAAAAACATGACAAACTACCCAATACACAATACACTTACTTTTATACCAGCTACTTCAACACGCATGAAATTATGGTATGTTTGACAACAGGAAATGAGATACCTCTAGAATCCAGGAGCACAAACGAAGGAGGCGGAATTCCACAACCTCAACTTTCATTTCTTTCAGCACTTCTTTCCACAAGCAATCTCTTCATAGATACACTCTGCCACAACTCCTGACCCTTAACAAAGACAGGCGGACAGCAAATGGTGTGGCATATGAAACTAATCAGCTGAAAGGATCTGGA